TCAACCAGAGAAGATAAGTAATTTAGAAAAAAGCTCGGCAATTGCAATGCATGCATTAACACACAACCACACAATAGGGTGGGAGAGGGTTAAAATTCTAAAAAGTAATCTAGGTAGGTGGAGAGAGAGGTTGATTACTGAATCTTTGTTCATCGAATCTACACCCAACACATGCAATAGAAATGAATCATCACTCATACCTGAAATATGGAAAATAATACTACCAATCAAATCAAGTGAAAAACAATGGAACTATATAAATGAATTTAGGAAGTCGTGTGATTAACTTGATATGATTATGAGCAATAAATTGTGCTCGAAACGTCATCAGTAAATATTACTGTATAACACTGTGAGACTCTATCAAAATAAAATTTACCCATAATGGAATTACACTCTACCACAGTGCCCAAGTTTTATTCTTATACTAAGAGTACTAAGTATTGACCCTAGGGTACTAAAGTCGTGTCGTCTGAAGTAACTTGTTGACAGTCTCTTCAGTTTCCTACGATCCTTTGGCTTTATGAATGTCTTTCTATGTGGGGAAAACTTTAGTGTTTGAAGTGGGATGACAGCATCTAAGCATGTGTTGGAGTTATAGTAAAAGATGTCTAGAGCTTTCGAGAGGCTATCAGTATAGAAGTACTCTCTCCATTCTGAGGATCTTAGCATTGATTTCACTAGAGTCCAGTCTGCCTTACTGTAGTTCCTGTATGTTACTTGTTGTGAAGTAGGGTTATGGGCTGCATTGCTACTTGACGGAAGTGGCAGTGCACACAGCACTGTTTTGTGGTCACACCCTGGAAACTCAGAACCTATTAGGGTAGAAAGGGGACTTATATTGTGGCAGAAGATTAAGTCTAGTACGTTATTACCTCTTGTTGGGGTTGTGACGGTCTGTTTCCAGCCAAGTATATCCAGTGTGCTCTCCAGTGACAGTAATGGAAAGACTGGCACGAAGATGAGGCGTACCAGGGACTTGTAGATCAAGCCTCGTCCACACCGGTGTACAGCAGGCAGATGCAATCGACTACGATTTGCGAGGGGGACGCCAATGAACTGGGTAATTTAGTTTCCCGCAAAAAGCGAGATGAGGACAACATAATGGTCAGAGTTCATTATACGAGCACGTCTGTGTGCTTCATATATTTCCGCATCATTAACAAATACTAGATCCAGTGTTTTATCAAGTCGAGTTGGAAATTTAACAATATTGACATGACCTAATGATTCAAGAAAAGAACAATCGCAGATATTGAAGTCTCCTGTGACAACTGATAAAGAGTTTTCGAGATGTGTAACAGCGAATGCTGTGAATTGATCGGCAAAGTCAGATAGATCCGAGGCTGAACAGCCAGGAGTAACATAAATGTTTGAGATGAAGACGTATTTAAACTTGGATAAGTATTTCGGACGACATTTGACTGTAATACAATCAATAAAGTCACTAGAGAAAGTTGACCACTGAGAATGAATGAAAGTTGCGACGCCACCACCTCTTTTCTTTCTAGAGCATAGTCGATCTTGTCTAAACAATGTAAAACCATTTATAGAAACCAGGTTGTCATCATAAGGATCATGGAGCCATGTTCCTTGTAATGCAACTATCGCCGTATTGTGATAAGTATCGGATGATAAGAGACACTGGAGATGCATAATTTTGTTGGGAAGTGAACGGCAGTTTGAACTGACAATAACAGGAATAGTTGTGCGATGTAAAGGTGTGCGTTTGAGAGCACGTTGCCAACCACCATGATGCATGAAAGTTATATAGTTTAAAACGTTTAATGAATTCACTACTGTGTTTGATACGATTTGTGATCATATTTTGTTAAAATGAAAACATGATGTATTGGATGCAAATATGTAGATGTACGGAAAGGTATGGGAGAAGTGGGAGCGCACCCGAGTCTTGCCCTCTGGTGAGCTATCCTTCGTGGATTGCTACGAGAAAGCTTATATGTACTTAATGGCAGAACGCCTTTGTTTAGGTGATTCTGGTCGTTCGTTTCCTATAGGCAGTAATCAGGTCCCCTCTAAACCGACGTTAGCTAAGTGTGAATAGGCCTAATTTCTTTAGCCTTTCATCATTCGGTTTATTTCGGAGTACCGCCACGCTTCTTTGTCTCTCGTCTTTGAACTTTCCCAGAAGGTTCGCGTCTCTTCTAAGTAGTGTGGGTGCAGTGATATTGTGCACTTCAAGGCGTGATTTTTGCGTATTTATTGTACAGCCTTAGAAAGGGCTCAGGAGTCATTGCAGCTAACTGTCCTTGTGTGAAGTGTATGACCGCATATGCCGTCGCTACATAGCCCGTGCAATTCACTTTCATATCCATTCATCCATTAGAAATAAACCTAAGCCGCGCTCTAACGCTGTGCAGGACATTTTTTGCTGCATAGGGTGTAACTTACGTTCTGCAGCCTACAGGTGAATTGCCGCACAACTTTGTACTTTTTCAGCCTGAAAGTCATACTATTGATTAC